CAACAAAATAAAATATTATTACAAAATCTTGCGTTACAAAGTAATGGCCGAATACAATAAAGAAAAAATATAATACAAATGTCTAATATCTTCGATTCAGTCAAAAGACTCTTAACACTAGTGGTTTCAAAATGTCATTTATCTTTTATATGTACCCCAGCTCTTGCAAAATAGTAAGCAATATGTGCCAGTGGATAGAGTGCCAGATGATGAAAGCAGCAAACAAGAGGTTACTGTCAATGACTAGCCTTTCACCAACATTAGGAAATTCAGATTAAGACAGTATTACGTTAAATAGTCTAATGTGCAAAGGTGCATATCTTTAAATCTAGAATTAAACATGAAAAATGCATGTGTTTGTTTGCAAAGGTTTAGTCATACAACATATGTGCATTTGTGAAGTCTGTATAAGTATGCCATCTAGAGTATGCAGAAGTAATTAGTACGTTTGACATTTAAAGGGATAGTTCACCCAAAAATGAAAGTTCTGTCATCATGTAAGTCCCACTCCACTTGTTCCAAACCTGTATGAGCTTCTGCTGAGCACAAAAGAAATTATTTTAAAGAATGTTGGTAACCAAACAGTTTACGGTAGACATTGCCATCAATAGTTTTTCCCCCCTCAAACAATGGAAGTCAATGGCTACCATGAACTGTATGGTTACTAACATTCTTCATGATGACAGTGAAAATTCTGTCATTATCATTTACTCACCCTGAAGTTGTTACAAACCTGTATGACTATCTTTAAAGATATTTTGAAGAATAGTCATACAGGTTTGTAACAACTTCAGGGTGAGTAAATGATGATGACAGAATTTTCACTTTTGGGTGAACTATCCCTTTAAGTTGAGAAGAATGGACATTGCATTTTTATAAGACATATTTTTATAACAGTATATTTAAAGAAAATTAATAAAAGTTTTTTTTTTCATCCTGGGAATGATGCCTCCAGAAGTTCATAACTTGACTACTCAAGATTGCAAAAGGACAAAGTTCATGATAATTACAACACATCACGATCTGTGTCCAAGTGAACTTGATGAGAAATCTCGAGAGACTGACAACAGTTCATTACCGACAAGGACAATGATATAGGCCTCAGTAATCTTGTGAAATAATTTGATGGTTTTAAGGAATTGGATCCTAATCTGTATTTAAAGGTGTGGGAGTTGAGGTGTCAGGTTCAATATTCATTCATTCATTCACATGGGCAGCTTTTCACAAAACACCATGGTATTGTTCTACTGAATCGAAGCGTTATGCATTAAAAAAAATCAGGAAATGGAAATGCACTTGCTTGTAAAAAAAAAAAGAAAAAAGAAAGAATAACATGATCATATGCAGTTCTATAATGAATTATATTCATCATATTTAAAGTGACACATGACCACCTGATGACAAAGCAGAAGACAAGAGAAACTAAATTTACAAAATATATACCATATATACAGTAGGCATATTGTCACACTATATGGGGTAAATCACAGTGCAAATCAATTACGTAACTAAAAACAATGAATGAAATAACAAACAAGGTAAATAACATACAAAGCATAGTTTCGTCCCACAAATAACCATTAGAATTTTATCTAGGCTATTTGTAATTTTTAAAACGCACGTGACAACTTGCCTCAACCAGACATTTGAAAAATAGGCTACCTTTATAGGCCTACTTTATGGGGGGGGAAATAATTAAATAGAATGAAATAAAATCTACCTTGTGACAACTAGGCTATATTGAAAATAAACAACTAATTATTAACCTGACTATTTACTAGACACCTAGGTATAATTTCTACTTTGACGGTTTACCTCAAGGACACCTGCAGAAAGTTCATTCGTATGATGAGTTTGCAAACGTATTATCTTTATAACATACACATTTAGCTAGCCTAAAAGTGATCAAAGTTGACTTACATGTTCGAACGGGGCTTTCCCTGTCAGTGCTGTTGGAAATTGTGTAGTTTTCAGAGCAGGTGTGAATGAAACAGATGTTTCTCAGGTGGAATAACCTAGTGCGTCTACTGTTGCATTCAAACCTGTGGCCTCTCGGTACCACCCTGTCACGTGACATGTGGAGCAGGTGCCAGGACTTCACTGCTGCTGTCTGCGTTTAGATTGCCATTATTAAACAAACGATTGAATCGCCACAGCACTAAAAAGTAGTATATATACTTTTTAAAACAATCGAGAATATGTATTTTTGACGGTTTTCTTTTTTAACAATACACATACAACTTATGATATTAATGTCTGTCACAGACTTAACACGGAAATTAAAGAAATTTGATCATATCTCTGGCATGTCATGTAAACATTCTACAGCTGATATTGAAATACAATTTGCGTTCTAAAATAACTTCCTATTCAAGTTGTATTGTACGGCATTTGCAAGACATTTCAACAGCAAATATCTGTAAGTCATTCTTGAGAAGTGGGACAAAACAGGGTGCAAAATTGAAAAAATAAAACCTTGTACTCAAGACAAATGAAACTACATTTATGTATCTTACATGTACTAAGCTACTGCGCTATGCTTTGATACAACCTCCCAACTTTTCTCTTTTTTAACAAAATGTGCTTTTTTACCTGACAGTGTGATATAATTTCAACTTTATCTTTAACAGCATTCAAGATGTTTTTAACATTTCAAAACACATTCTCGTGTTAGCAGACAGATTGCACTTTCACATGTGACCAACAATTCCACAACAAATATAAAATATCATAATGAAATATTATCAAAATATTCAACTGATGGAGGTGACAATACTGACGGAGTTCACACATCTGACGGAGGTGACGAAAACCTGAATTTGTAGTCATTTTAACTATCAGATACATTGAATCAGTCAATTACTGTATTAAAACAAACACAACAAACAAACATTAGGATTTAAAATATTCTAAAACTATGAAACTTCGCAGAGCCTGTCTGACACTGATGTACTCTGCAGAGGTGAACTGTGGCAAGGGGGTCCTTTAGAGTGACCCGATATTCTCTGATTCTATTACATTTTATTGAATGTCTGACGGTGTTGACAAAAAGTGGGGACGCAACTTTAAAATCGTATTAAACATGCATGTGTCATTAAAAACAACCTTGCTTTGATAGGAGATATTATTAAGGGTTGCTTTTGATAAAACAAGCTCTTTTTCAACATTAAAAAAAAATTTTTTATCCATTTTTATTGCATATGAATGATTGAACCCTTCTCTGTGGACACACTGTTTTAGATGTAGTGAGAGGACATTAAGAAACACAGATTTGGTATAATAATGAGAAAATTTAATTGAAGGTGATAATTGTTAAATACATTCTATTATTAATCCCTCGTGACATTTAAAATTGAATTTTTTTTAATTTTTAAACCTAATAGCAGTTACCCTTGCTGGACCTGTTTTGTCCCATGTCTCAAGAATGACAGACTTTGCTTTTGATATTTCACGTTATAGAGATTGCGAGACAAGTTAAATTAAGAGCTGTTTATTGATCAACACGCTGTTCATTAAGATTGTTACATAAGTGTAGCATTTGGACCAATCAGACACACAACTTTTTGTTATATTTAACAAATAATATCGAACTCCCCATCACCTAACCAAATGGCCAATTACGAGGGTCTATGGACCCTTCCCCCGAAATGCACCTAACACCTCAGAAAGGCAGAACAGGCCTCTGGTTCCATGGTAACCAATGCTGATATCACTGGTTTTATGGCCTAAAAGGAATGCAGGGGATAAACTCCCTCATTTTCCTCATAAGAAAGACACATAATGCCCAGAGAAATGGACTGTTCTCTAATTAATTCATAGGAAAACCTTTCTTTGATTGAATACACATATCCTTCAGATCATTGTGTATACCATTACTGTTCTTGCATATTGTCTGTTGTAGTGTATGCTGTTTTATGCATGTTATCATAGACCACTAGTTAACATAACCTCACCTATTTCATGTTTGGTCTCTATGAATTCATCTTCGGATGATCTAACTGAGAGTGCATATTACATGCTGATACCTATGCAACATATTGATGTTCTAAGAATCTTTACTAATTTGTGCATTCACACCCAAGCGAATTACATATGCAAAATACCATGCTTAGAGACAAAGGGCCATAAAAACGCAGAACTCCCACTTGAGATTCCGGACTTCCCCATTGGGCAAGCCCATCTTGAGAGGCGTGAATCTCTGCAGGCTTTAAAAGGCCACACTCCATGTGACCCGCCCTGTTCGGTGGTTCAGTGAGATGCTAAGATGAAGATGTGAGAAACGCTCCAGGATACCAAAGCTCGTGTCAGGCTCCGGCCTAGTCCTTTTCATTCATCAAGTGACTCTGACTCAAACTGGTTCTTTTCATCGACCCGAATTCAGCAAAGATCTACGGGAAGCTTTAAGATTTGCATCAGGAATCTCTTTCAGACCGCCGAGACTCGCTAAGTTTCAAACTTAGTCTTATTAATTGATACATTAAGTATCAGTTACACCTTTTTACAAAGGTGTGTTTGAACTCAGTATCTGACGTATCCCTGAAGGCTTTGATCTGTTGAATATACATGCAAAGTGTTCTATAAAATCCATTCTTTATGCCTCTTTCTATGCTGAGTTAAACTTTAACCCTTTCCTATACCAACTGTATGTGTGTGTGTGTGTGTATGTGTATGTTAGACCGGCTTAATGTGTTTATGTAGTATGTTAGACTAGTTTAAGTGTTTATGTAGTTAATAAAACCTTACTTGTATCACACTTGACGCGTTCATTGTTTACTCATAACCGGAGTCAATAATCATGCAGATTTACGTTACAAACTTATAGAATTGTACAGTAAGAAAGTTATTTCCTTTAACCAGGAAATTAACGTTCTTAGAATTGACAAGACGGTTGACCCTGAGTGGTCAGCTAAATATCTACAGTGGATCTAAAATATGAATAGTTAATTATAACTAGTTATGGTTAATTATTCATATTTCCCCATGAGCTGATCCGCTACATAAGCTCCAAGGTCACACAAAGTCGATAGTATGAAAGAGATTGTGATTCCACACAATTTTCGAGCAGATAAGATCAAGCAAAACTCATTATTGACAAGACAACTGTGGACATTTACTATTTTGCCACCTTCACCTAATAAAAATCCATAACATATGCTAGATAAAATGACCATTATATTTTTTTACTACACTCCAGAAATCCCAGTATGTTTTGTTAAATTTAGATTCAGTCAATATGTATTAAAACTGAATTATAAAAGGCTCAAAGTTGTTTGTTTAAACTATTAAGATTATTATTGTTCTGTATCACATTTCTTCTTCTAGTCAGCACAGACATGATGTGTTGCCTGTACAGATGCATCTGATGTTTCAGCAAATAGGACAAAAGTTCACTTAATACAAACACTCATGAGCGACCCATAGAAATCAGCCCACTGGACATCAAGGTCGCTCGATCACACCACCTTCGTCAGTTAATCGATCTACAGGATGACCTTAGCTGAGGCCAAACCAGGTCTAATACAAGATTTCAGATCGTATGTTTTTATTTCAGCACGTCCTGAAATGTGTCTTCATGGTATAAACACAGGGGCCCTTATTCATGGAACATGGGCAGAAGGAACTGCTGTGTATTTTAAATCATTCATAACATGAATTATATGTAAACTGTCCCATTGACTTGAATGCAACAATTTATGCAAGAATATGCTTTGCAAGAAATTGGTTCTGCTTGCATTTCATGACGAAAAACCATTGTGCGTTTACTTCCTATTTATATATTTCCTATCTTTTTTTTGCATATGCCAAACATTTAATACCCATTGTGCAAAAAGCCAATATCAACCTGTGAACCTTGCAAAATTCACCAGAACATTTTTATTACCCAGTGAATGACTGGAAGACTGAAAACCAGCAAAATTCATTTTAATGTAGAAAATAGTTCCCACTCTCTCATTATTTGACAAACTTTTTTTGGTAATTCCCAACAAATTTTCATTTTGTATCAGTTATGCTTGTCTCCTCCAAATATGCAGACCATTACTTTTATTCTGACAGAAGGTCCATCTATCCTGGAGGCCATTTCATTTGCCGTCCTCCGAGAACATAAATGTGAAGGTGATACATGGACTGTGCCCCATTTTTTCCATCATTAATGACTGTAAATAACAATGACAGATAATTAAACAAATAATGCATTCTTTAAAGGTAATGACATGTTAATATTATAGTGTACTATACTAAATAAACTGCAGATATTAAACCTATAAAGCCTACTGTATTATATTTGATACACAAATTTCTACAGCCTTTAAATGATCAACATTATCTAAACTTGTTGTACTCCATCTACTACATGTCTTCTATCATCTGACTGATAGCTTATACTTTTTTAGCAAGTAAAGGCCTTTTAGTATAATTGTAAATATGTCGACCTTTATGTCGTTGTAGAGTACGTGTGTCTTTTTATAAATTAAACGTAAGAATAACTTGTTAGTAATATCTCAAAAATAAACACTAACTGGACTGAAATGAGATTTACTTGATTATCTATACATCATTGATATACATCAATATTTATATGTATTTTACGTCAGTAGTCTGCTAGACTGTTACAAAAACCTTAATTTACATTACAAGCTAACAGAATGCCATCTTACTTTTTGGTCACATAAATATCAGCAACTGCACCAAATTGCATATTTTTGCTTAGTGAGGTGTTTTTTCCACCTTGATTATGAGCTCCATATTCTTCTACATCATACTATTTGAGCCACTATTTTTTCTGACTCTTATTTTACATGCTAAGCTTTACAGGTTTAAGATGATAGATGATTAAATGAACCCTTTTCAAACAAAGCATATTTTGCTCACCAACTCTGTATCCTTCATCCAGTCCTTCTTTCTTTGCTACATTTTTGGCCACTAACAAAAGATGACCCAGGAGCTGGAGGAAAATGCCAAGATCTTAGAGGTGTGTCATCCTCTGTAATTGTTAAAACTAGAAACTAATCAAATGTATGTGGACAGACAAACCGATACATCACCATCGTGTGCTTCACTGATCCTGGGAATGGGAATCCTTGGAATAACCAGGAAATGCACAGGAGCCTGGGAATTTACATCTCTGAAAGCTAGACACTGCAACAACATATATATTATATGTAAACTGATATGCACACTATTCATACTATTGAACTTTACAAAAAAAATCTGAATTAAGATAAATAAATCACAATATGTTACTTAACAGTATATTTAAGCAAAGGTCATAAAGGCTTGTGATCTGGAACTTACCTTGTCATCCTCATAAATGATAACTGCAGGGATAGTTTTGTCAATTATTTTAGAAAATATAGTGGGTTCAGGTTTTCCGTATTTCCTGCTGGCTTCCTGTGCCAAGCGAACCTCGCCGCGCGTGGAAGAGCAAACGGTCTGATACAAACAGGCAAACAAACAAAACCTCAGAAACAGTATCTCTGAATGTCTAAAACATGTACACAGCTGATCAAGTCTTCTGCGCACTTCAAATTCACAGACCGCACTAAAACTCTAACAGCGTGTTCATAAGATAGAACCTTCACAGGTAAGACACGCCGTAAACGATGTCCAAGAGGCAAAACCTGCCGGGTTAGTAAAATACTGCGAGCTGTCATTGCACTGTTTAAGGACAAACAGCGTTCATATTCCATGGAAATCCACCTCTCACGTGCTGCTGCTGAGGATTTGTTTACATCGGGTTCTCAAAAGTTATGCGGTTTTCAAAATAAATGTTTCCTTTGAATTACAGAGTAAGTAAAAAAAACAAAAACTTCATTATGCATATTTTAGTTTCACAATTTTTTATTTAATAATTTTTTTATTATTTTGAGGTGAGATGTGTCTCTTAATATCTTCGTGAGATTCACAATTTGTGTATTGAATTAGCATATCATACTTTCGTTCAAATGCATATATTGAACATCTGTGTGCACTGAATTTATTTAATACACGAGTTTCACAATTTGAGTTGAATTACTGAAATGAACTTTTCCACGACATTCTAATTTATTGAGATGCACCTGTATACAATTATGCATACAAAAAAGGGACAAGAAACATACCTAAATAAATACATCAAGCAATCAATCATATAAAAATCAGAATAAGGGTATAAATAATGTTACATAATAAATATTTTTTATTTTATTTATTTATTTTTTGTTTAGTACATTTTTTTTCATGCGTTTATGAATGTGAAATTTGGTCAATTTTGATTAATTTAATAAAATAATTTTCAGTCTTTTTAGAATATTCAATATATTTAGAAAATTTGAGTTTATTTTCCCATAAAAGTTAGAGAGGTCTTGAACAGTGAATATTTGCATTGCTACATTTCTGTATATCACAGTATAACTCAATAAGTACAATGCCAAAAGCAAGACAGTTTCATAGCTATTACAAAAATAGAAGTTTATGTTACTCTATTTTAGTTTATCTTTATTATTTTTATTTCTGTCAAGAATGGTTTACTGAATATAGATTTGTGTATAAGAGATTCACTTTTTATTATTATTATTATTATTACCCAAAATACTTTTTATAACAAGTACATAACTATACAATATCAAGAACACTAAATATCTCAAGAATAATACAAGGAATAAAGTAAAATAAATAAATATAAAAAAATAACATAACATGAGCCAGAGGGGGGAACTTATACAAGAGAGATTCACATGTTTACCATCAGACGATTATTTGTTTTTATTTTTATGTGTTTTATTTTTTTGTCCTCTTATTATGAAAGGGTAAACTCTGGTTCACACTCCAATACAGTAGGTGGCGATAATGCACCTTAACATTGATGCTATTCGCCATAAAACCGAAGAAGAAGAAGACCATCAGACGATTGCACTTATTCTCCTCTCATCCGCTCCAGCAGACGGCAGCAGACAAACACAGTGGCACTGAATGACAGAAGAAGAACTCTGAAGATCATGCGGGAGAAACATGGCGTCCTGCAGCAGGTTGCCCTTGCATACTTTCCTCTTCAGTGCGTCGGTACGCCTCGCCTGTAACAGAAATGTCCAGGTTGAGGCTTCCACAGCAAAGAGTTTATATCCACCCATTCTGCCCTCCCGCACCGCGAAGAGTAAGGCGGCGAAGCGGCGCGTGGTCACGGAGGTCTTCGAGCAGCTGCGCTCCTGCACGGCGCAGGAGAAGATCCGAGCGCTCACTCGCGTTCAGCGCAAGAAGTACGTGATTTACCCACGCACATTTGCTCTCAACGCGGACAAGTGGTATCAGCACTATACCAAAACGGCATTTCTCAACGGACTGCCCGAGAAGTACGAGTCTGCGCCGGTGGTGGGTGAGTCTGTGCTGTCTGAGGTGCGCTCTGTAGTCTGCAACTCCATCCTACAAGAACACTGGCACGCGAAGAAAGGGAGGACTTTCATCCAGAAAGAGCAAGAGCAACTTGTCACTCCGTTTCTAAGGAACGCGGTGTGTGGTCTGAAAAACCTTCTGGCCAAAGAAAACCCCGTGCTGAGTCTGTCAAGTTTAGGTGGGTTTGACCTCCATGTTTACACTTGACCGCAACGCAGGGTTCTCATTCAGTAATGTGGCTTGTCTTTATATTGTTTAACGTGTATATAATGTGTTTTCTGGTTTTTAATGTTTTTAATGTATGTGCTGTTTTGTCTATTATTGGCAGATTTTGACCCTCAAGTCAACTATTACTGGTTACGGGGAGAAAGGACTATTCCAGAGGGCCACAGGAGAGGACGGATGGAGCCCATGAGATTCCAGATTGATGACAAACCTCACAGCCAGATCAGGATCCCACAGCAACTTCCTGAGGTAGGGGCCCGTACCTCACGTTATGTTTATGATGAATACAATTTGTGTAAATAATGTTACTCATGACTGCAGACAGTTTAAAGATGCAACTGTTTTACAATGTAAAAGTCTGTGGTGATGTTAACTGGGAATGTTGGCATGCAGAGCTTAGGAGAAATAGCATTAATGTGGGATATATGTGCTTAATAGTGATGTAATATCTTGCAGTTTGTTCCTCTTGAGGCAGACATCTCTGCTGAAGTTCCCGTTATCACTTTGGCTCCCGACCTGCTCCCCTTGTTCAGGAGACAGTATGACAACAACATCTTCATAGGTTGGTGTGTTCCAGTTTACATTATATTATTTTATTAATATTTTGAATTAACTTTTACATTTATATGGTCACTATTCATTTTAGTTTTAGCATTTGTATTTTTTATCTCAGTTTTAGTACTTGTACATATTTTAGCTTATTTTATCTTAGTTCCAGAGACAACAGTTATACTTTTGATTTTCGTTTGGTTTAATCTAATGTTCATCTTATTTTATTTCAGCTCTATTTTGATTTACCAGAAATGGTTTTTAATAGTTTTAGTTAAAACTCCCAGATTTTTGTCTTCAAATGTCCCACGAAGCAACAGATATTTGCAATTCTAAATGCTGATTGGATGAGCCACAAAAGTTGCTGCACGTTCTGTATTACTGGAGAAAGTTGCTTTCTAACTGTAAAGGACTTAAATTTAGGCTAATGAATTATTACATAGAAAAAGAAGTGTTTACTATTAGATATTAAATGTCATTTGATTATTAATAAAGTAAACTATTTATTGAGCATTGGTGTCTTATCGCTTTGATGTTGCCAGTTGTACAAAAGCATCTGATAAGAACACTTGTGTTAAATCACTGTAGTGCAGTGTTTCTCAACCAGGGGCCACTAGGGGGCCCTAGCAAACTTTTATGGGGTCCCCAATAAATCTTTCAATTCAGTTTTATTAAATAGTAAAATGTATTAAAATGCTAATAAAAACAAAGTTTATTGACTTATATTACATCAGAGGTAAATAGCAACTTGCTATCCATATTATATAGTATATATAGTATTATATAGTTTAAAGTTTAAATCCGTGACAGTATTCTGAAAGTCTGTGCATGTTGTTTTACCCCACAGGTGCCAAACTGGAAGACCCATGCTGCTATGGTCACACACAGTTTCACGTGGTCCCTGACAGGTTCCGCAGGGACAAAATGAGCAAGAGGGGCCTCTCTGATCAGGTGGAGGTGTCACTGAGGGCCAACAGTATTGCCAGCCTGTTTGCATGGACAGGGGCGCAGGCTATGTATCAAGGTTGGTGTTTCTGTAATCTTTGGAATTGTCCTGAGCTCAGGTTAAGATCACTTTTCAATTGAATTGATCCATATATATATATATATATATTTTTTTTTACAATTGTAGGGCATTGACATGAATCAGCTCATGCATGCTTCCTTAATAACTAAATATGTTTTGATCTGCTCAGGCTTTTGGAGTGAGGAGGATGTGAGCAGGCCGTTTGTGTCTCAGGCTGTCATCACAGATGGGCAGTTCTTCTCATTTTTCTGCTATCAGCTCAATACTCTGGCTTTGAGTCCAAGGACTGACGGCAACAATAGCAGGAAGAACTTATGCTGGGGCACAGAAAGCATGCAGTTGTATGAGAGAATCACAGACGGAGACATAGTGGGCTTGAACGATGCTGTTCTTAAACTGTTGCTGCAGTTTTTATTGAACAAACCACAGTGTTGAAAATTCTGAAAATGATATGATTGTTATATGTATCAATAAACATAATACATGGAGCTGCATGTTATTTTTGTCTTCATTTAAGTTTAAGAATTTGTTTAAAGAAGTTTTGGATTTAAGTGCCCAAAGGAATAGTTCACCCAAAAATGAAAATTCTGTCATTTACTCACCATCTTAGTCCAAACCCATAAGAATTTTCTTCATGTTTGGAATACAAAAATATATCATGAAGTAATCTGTATGAATCGAGCAATTTGAAATGTCAAGTTTTCATCATATGAACTGATTTAATCCTTCAATAAAGCCTTCAGAAAAGTATTTTCTTTAGTTGACCTGGCTTTATTATTAAATTGACTTCCAAAAGGTCATATGAACACTTAAACCTTGGCAATAACACTATATTGAAGATTATGAAAACATGCCTTATGTTTATTTAATATAATGTAATATATAGTAAATGAAGTCCTTAGCAATGCATATTAGTTTTGATATATTTACAGTAGGAAATTACAAAATATCTTCATGGAACATGATCTTTACTTAATATCCTAATGGTTTTTGGCATAAAAGAAAAATTGATAATTTTGACCCATACAATGTATTTTGGGATATTGCTACAAATATACCCCAGCGACTTAAGACTGGTTTTGTGCTCCAGGGTCACATATATGTTTACATATATTGCTGTGACTGAATTAATTTAGGCAAAAAATCTTGCTTGTTACTTTATGTGATTCAAGCCACAAGATTATAAAGCAGAATAAAAAGGTTTTACATAATCAAACACTTTTTTTCTTTTCAACTGTTGAAATGAAAACCTCAGTGCTCCAGTTTTCTTTGTCTTGCTGTGTTGTTCTCCACTCCATTGCTCTCATCACGAGTGCTAGAACAAAAATAAGCACCATCACTGCCAATGTCTGAAAAACCTCCAAGCAAATTTTTACCAAATATATTCAGTGAAGCTTTCAAAATCATATAAACTGATCTGCACACACTTACAGATTGCTGGTTTGTTCAGAGCAGAGATCATTCTCTGCAAATGGATAAATCCTTTGTTAATTTTAATTGGTGACGGCTCTATTTAAAGATTATTCATTAAAGTTTTCTGTACCTCCTGCAGACAAATTATCATTTTGCGGCT